CCGTGAGGTTGCAGCAGCCCAACCTGCGGGAGAGATGGCGGTGAGGCTGCCTGCCGCCGGTGCTGCGGCCCTCTTTTTCATCGCCCCGGGTTGGAGGAGGCCTGGCCAGTGTCCCCTGCCTGAGCCCGGGCATGGAGGTGGCTCCTGCAGTGGCTCTGGGGACACTGCATTGGAAAAGAGAGGGGAGCATCTCACTGCCCTCTCCCCATCCCTCTCCCAAAAAGCTGGCGCGCCTGGATCTGGTGTTCACTGGTGTTTGCTGCTGAGTTTCCTTGTTCGGCATCCCCAGGCGTGGTGATGCTGAGAGAGGCTCGAACGCGCTCCGCAGTGCAAAACACAACCCAAATCCTCAAACTCGAAGGGACAAAATGCCGAAGTGCAGCCACGAGACAGTACCCGGCAGCAATCCCACTGTGCCGGAGCGTGGGAGTGGAGAGATAAGGCAACCAGACAGCGTCTGCTCAACCAGGGAGTAAAGGTCTGGGGGCAAACAATTAATATTGCTTGAATGGATGAGACTAATCCGCCTCACTGTTGAAGTTTCAGAGAGATTCCTTCTTTCAAATCTTGTTGTCCAGGCTGAATCTGTACCAGGGGAAAACAGGGGAAATGGAAACACCCCAAAAAAAAATGGAGGGGAAAATGGAGACACTACTAAGGGACGGTTCATCCCCTTCCCAGAAATGGTCTGTGGGGTGAAACTGTTTCTGCAATTACGTGTTTCTGCATGGTGCGAGGCCACCTCGCCCTGCCTGGGCACACAGGGACCCGAAAACACCCGCAGCTGCAGGGCCAGAGCCTGGGGAGAAGGTGCCTGGGGTGCACAGAGACACCCACAGACCGGCAAACAGCAGGGTCGGTAGCACAGACCTCTCCTCTAACTTTTCCATCTGGCCTAGGCACTGAAAATGAGTTCTCTCACTTACTTTCCTACAGTGTCCTAGCAGAGACTCATTCATTTAAAAATGTGGAACTAAATTATATTGGTGGAAAAGGTAATAATAAGGAGCGGGCCCCTCTGACAAGTAGGTCTGCGATGCCTCAAGCTATCTTTGGCAACAGCAGCATATGTAAACGGGCCTTTCTCATTTCTTTTTCTTTTTTCCTCCCTCTTCCAGGCTCGCAAGGAGAAGAGACAAATGGTCCTGCAGCCTCTCGGAGCAGGCGACGTCCCTCACCGCAGCGTCTGCAGCTGGCAGGCGCCGCATCTCAGCCCCTCGCACAGCAGCTTCACGCCGCCGTCCCTCAGGTCTTCGTTCCCAGCCAGGTCCAGCTCCATCAGGCTGGGGCTTCTGCTGATAACGGAGGCCAGGGCCCTGCAGCAGGCGCCTGTGAGCTGACACTGATCAAACCTGCAAGAGAGATGCAGAGAGGAGCCACGGGGCTCATCAGCCGAGCCCTTGCTGACATAGCCACCCCGATGATGTCCAGAAACAGGGCTGGTCTTCACAGATGGCCTCCCGGGAGCAGGAGAAGCCCGTCCCGCCGTGCAGCGAGCCGTGGCAGCACGTGGTCATCCTCCCTGTGCCACGAGGAGACCTGGCCAGGCTGGCTGGGGTTTGCTTGTTTTCCCGTTTCACCCAGCAGGGAAGAGCGATGTACCTTAACGTCTTTAATTTACAGCCTGATTTTTCCAAGGCTTGACAAAGCAGGTGGATAGGCGAGTGCTTCCCCTCCTCTTGCTGTTTTTCCCTGAAAACAAAGAAGAGGTGCATCCTATTACTCCTACTCCTACTCCTACTCCTACTCCTACTCCTACTCCTACTCCTATCCTATTCCTATCCTATTCTATTCCATTCCTATCCTAGTCTATTCCTTTCCTGTTCTACTCCCATTCCTACCCTATTCCTATCCTATCCCTATTCCTATTGTATCCCTGTTCCTATCCTATTCTATTGCTATTCTGTTCGCGTTCTGTTCTGTTCTATTCTATCCTATTCCTATTCTATTCCTATTTCTATCCCTATTCCAATATTGCTCCTTGGCCACCGGCTGTGTCCCTAGGTCACACCTGTACCCCCTTGCCGATGTGCCCGGCGTGGCGGGAGGACCAGCCTTGCCGTGGGCTCCTCTGCAGGGACATCACAGATCTTTGGGCTCTAAGGGATTCGCCGCTTTGCGGCTTGGGACCTTACGCACCGATATGCCTGCTTGGCCGGCTGCGGGCCCACGCAGTCCTCAGGGTCGTCCCACAGAAAGGAGCAGTGCCCCAGGTCCAGCGACTCCAGCTTGGGGAAGTTTTTCACGCTGAAGGACAGGACCATTTGGTCAAAGCGGTTAAGGTTGAGCCCTCGTACGTACACCCCCGTGAAAGGTTCCAAGACGGTCGCTACAAAACGCTCGTCCTGGAGCTCGTACAAACAGTGGCAGACCTCCAGCTCGCGAATGACTGCCGTCTCCTGCATCAGAAGAGCTAGGGCGGTTTGGTTTCTGCCTGGTTTTGAACCCAAGCCAGTAATTCCCGCGTAATCCTGGGTGCGATTTTACACCCCATCTCCTCCTCCAGCTCCCTCCTGCGTTCCTCGTTTAAGAGCCCGAAGAGGAACCGCACGGTTAGCATGAAGTAGTTCCTGGAGTTGCCGTAGCTCTCCAGCAGCTCCTTCACATCCCTGGTGGGACCGGCGGGGGGTTCCTGCACCTCCCCTTCGTCTTCCAGCAGGTAGAAGAGCGCTGCAAAAAACTCCTGGAAGCTGAGGTGGATGAAGCTGTAGGTGCTGACGCAGGAGATGTCCTTCTGGAAGAGGTGCTCGTTGAGGAGGAGCGGGAGGGCCTCTCGCTGGTCCAGCGCATACCCCTGCACCTCCTTCTCCTCGAAGAGGACCTTCTGCTTCCAGACGCCGTCGGCCGCCAGGCAGCACAGCCTCCTGAGCACCCCGGGCATGCCTCGCTTCAGGCGGCCGCTCAGAGACCGGAGCAGGGCGGAAAGGTAGAGGA